CTGAGACAAGAGAAAAAACAAATTTTCGACACATAATTGGTCAAGAGATGGGTCTCAGCCGTCTCTGACGGGTTGTAGCTTGGTTCTAAGAATGGCACGGTTTACTAAAAATTCCAACCAAACGTCTGGAAATTGGTATTACTACTATGCCAAAGAACTCCTGACAAGGTTCGTTCATCTAGGTCACTATGAAAACACGACCAATTTGCGAAAAATTGACCAAACCATTTATCTATAGCAAAAAACAGGCTACTCCAAATAGAAGCCGCACTATCTTGGTCTTCATAACATCGATTTTAGCACTATTTTTAAGCTACTGTCTACACTTCCTAAACAGATTGTCTTTATAGAACGTCGGTAGGTACATTGTGATGGTCAGTTATGCTAGAATTCGACTTTATATATGTTGGAAAACGGTCCCATCAGAGCCCTCTCGCTAGACATTTGAGTGTGGTGGCTGTAAATGTAGTGCCTGGTATAATTTTTTGACCATCGACGTTATTGAAATCTAATATACCATTATTTGTCTCTCTTCTGAAGCCCCCGCCTCCACCTTTTTCTCCTGCGGCATCCGATTCGGCTCAATGTCTCCAACCATCCGGCACCTGCGACGAAGCCGGTGTCGATTTAGGTGACTCTGAACACTACGAGCGAGAACGACCCTCACCTGAGTGTTTTATCCCTTCTGATAGCCTTGTGCACTTCATTTCATTGCCAAGCTACGATAGTATCTGCAAGAATGGGGATGCTACTCTGCCGCCTGATGCCACTTTCTGCTTTCCGCCCCCCACCCTACTCAATGATCTCCTAGTTGATGAGAGGGCGCTTCCACTAGAAACTGGTCTCACTTCTGCGATGCCACTTGATTCGCTTCCACCATCTTATGCAGAACCTACAGTCCAGCCTAACAGCAGCCTTGTTTCTTCGCCACTTTCGGATTCCACACCTGAATCTGATCATGTTGGTCATTCAGCTTCATAATCGTTTCGTCATTATCCTTCTTACTATCTCTCATTGATTTTATTATTTTCTACTCCATTTACCAAAATTCGTGAAAATTTGTTCCACTAAACTATCCGAAGGCCTTCTATTGTTCACTTCAGCTATTTTTAATTTATTATTGGTTAAACGATTGCGGAGTTCCCAAATGCGACATGAGGCTATGAACTGTAGTTGTTCTGTATATGTAAACTCTTGATACAGCTACTTGGCCAACTTGATAAAAAGAGTAGCCTCAGGTTCTCTTCTTTTGAATTGAGCCACTGCTTTGTGTGCATAGGCCATCCAGTTCATCCCAAATGAGCCCAGACCTACTTTTATTATTTTAATTTGTTTCGCCACCAGAAGTGACCCCATATTGCTTTAGCAGTATTTCTTTACAGATTTGTATAACTTCATCTGAGTTTATATTTTTAATGTTTATTTAGCTATTATGATGCTTTTACTTTTCCTACTCCTTAGAACATGAACTTTCTTTACTCCCAAGATCATCCCCCAATAAATATCAGACTAAACCTAATAGTATATTTAGATATTACCTATAACGGCCAAGATGGCGTTCTTAGTTTTAGTCGCAGGCCCTTTTAGCTG